CTTTAAAATTCCAGAGGTTCAGTTCTTCTGAATTACTGTAACGGTAACACTGTGCAGACTGCGCTTTAGAAAACAGTGCTGCTATTAGCAGCTAAATAATTTGTGGTAATTAATTGTTGCAAAACGAAAAAAAAAAGTACCTTATTCACTATACAATTTATTGTAACAATAAAGTTTTGTTGAATAATGAAAGATTAAGAGGGAAAAAAGATTAGTTAATATGAAAATTTCAAGTTTTTTTGAAGCCTTTTTTCTCCTGTATTTGTTTAACACATTAGCTTTAAAAGTTTATTTTTTTCTCAGTTTAGGCACTGTTTTTCTGTTGTGTTTTGTTTAGTTGACATTAGATGACCTTTTCGAGAGTTACTGCAATCACACGAACAGTTTATTTGTTCTGTAAAAAACTTTTGATTGATTACCATTTATTAATGGACAGTAGTTAAAAAAAAAAAAAACAAAAAATTTCTTCTCATAGTTTACTCTAATTATCGACAAACAATTAGTAATATGCTTTTTTTTCCCCCCCCCCTCCCCTTTCCCTGTCCTCCGTTCCCAAACTGTAGGTTGATTGATTAATTAAAAGTTGCTTATGTATATATTGAAAAAAAAAAAAACGGACTGTATTAATTAAGATTAGATTTCTTTACAAACAAAAATGAAGGGGAAAAAAAGCACTGAACGTAGTTGTCAAAGTTTTGATCACTTTGTAAACAATTACTTTTCTGCTGCTGTAAACTATTTGGATTGTCCGGAAAATCATCCAGTTGCATATCAAAAAACAGAATTTTTGGAATCAAAAATAGTATGACTACGACTGGTATTTGTACCAAGAAACCGGAACAGTTTTTAGAATGCAGCAGCGATTTGATAAGAAAAATTGTTGGCTTAAAGATACCTAAAAAACAGTGATGATTCTATCAGAAAGACAAAAATTTGTTGCTCAAAATATAGTTAAAAAAGTTTTGCCGAAAAAAAGGGAGGCGAATGGTATGCAAAATTACGTTCTTAAAACCGTGTTAAAAAAAAACAAGTTATTTGTTCGATGAATAATCAGATAAACCCGTTGATAAATCAGTGTTCAACTGTGAATATATATATAAATTAATTTGTCAAAAAAAAAAAGTGATCTTTATAAAGAAAAAGATAAAATCAGCCGAAGATTACACTTGAAAAAAAAAGAATTTACAACTTTTTAAAAGTTTTTTTGACATTTTTTTTTCCGTTTTTTATTGGATATTAAAAACTGAAGAAGAAAAGGAAACCGTTGTTGTTATCAAATAAAATGCCGACTAATTTAGACAGAAAAAAAAAACTTTCAACTTGTGGCTTCATTTTTTTTTTAGCTATGATCATATCTTAACGATTACTTTTTTTTTCCTATGTTTTTTTCTCTTGAAAATTTGTAATAACAAACTATTTTTTATAGATGACTGTAATGAATCAAAACATCGAAAATACGGCTACTGTGAGGATGAGAAATGACGAAGACAGAAGACCGCATTGCTGCTTTAAGATACTTCAACTGTTTCTGGTATTTCTATCTTTACAACAGTTTTTTTTGCAATATTTGTTGTTACGGTTTGAACAATCCAAAAACTGTAAAATCAGTTGAGTACGGTGATTATACCACAGTTATTGAAATTCTTTTACGGTTTTACTTTTCTTCATTTTTTTTTCCTGAAAACTGATATAATTTGTACCGTTTTCCTGCTGTGTTAATTTTGCCTTATCTGTATCTCTGTTTTTTCATTGCAACGACTGTACTCAGTTTACTTCGCTTTTTTTTCGAACACCTTTCTGTTGTAATTTGAAAAAAAAAAAGAACCTAAAGCAGATGTTTTGATAAAATCTTAGAAAGATATTTTGTTGAATTATTATTGTTTTCTGGGTTGCAGTCTTTTCTTTCCTTCTTTTTTTTTTCCCCCTTCTCTTTCTTTTTTTTGGGGGGGGTGAAATACCAAAATTATAGCTTAACAAAATTATAATTTGTATTTCTGGTTTTCTTTTCTTTCCTTTTTTCTGACCCTTATCGATATATTTCCTTGCAGCGTATCCAATAAGCTACACACACACACA